GCTATGAGTGTGAACGCACGGGTCAAGGCCTGCGTTATTGAATGAATTATTCTTAATTTGTTTAATTTTCGAATGCAGTTCCTAGTGTGAATTTGAAAATTTGTCGGGGGTAAGTACTCCGAGCGTTTCCGAGGTCACCTTACTTAGCTTTTAATCGTATATATATTTCGTTTATACTTATTGCGATATCAAAATTCAGGAGACTGGCCGAAATAAACGCACGGGATGGCGTGGAGGAAGCAAAATGATGGGTCTGCACTCAAATGTAGTTTTTTCTCTCATTTTCATTGTTCATGTGAATGTTTATCATGAATCAGGCTGCTTAGTCCTTTGCGAGTATGGGAGCCTGGTCTCAGGAATGGGAGTGTTTAATCGCACTGTTGGGCTTTTAAAGTATTTTAGTAACAATTTTTCCATTTTAAGATATTTTTATTTTTTGATTTTCCAATTGTTGATTTTTTCGTTATCCGATTTTTTAATTTCGCTATTTTTTCAACATTTCGGTATTTCAATTTTTTTATTGTTCAATGTTTCGTTTTTTTCAATTTTTCAGTTTTCGATTTTTTAATTTTACAGTTTTTCGATGTTTATTTTGCCATTCTTGGATTTTTCAATTTAAATTTTTTGTATTTTTCGATTTTTTAGTGTCTAGATATTTTAACTTTTCGATTCTTCAACTTTTGAATTTTAGAATTTGTCGATATTTCTAGTTCTAGAAAATTTCTTTTTCTTTTTATTAAAAAAATTATCGAAGTTTTCAGTTTCTCAAGTTTAAAGATTACAATTTTTAAATTTCTCGGTGTTTCAAGTTTCGTTTTTTAAAATTTCAGTTTTTTCATTTTTAAGGTTACAATTTTTCCTTTTCCAATTGTTGATCCCTTAATTATTCGATTTTGAGTTTCTTTATTTTTGCAGTTCTTCCATTTCTCAATTTTTAAATTCTTTGATTTTTCAGTTTTTAATTTTTTTATTTTTCCATTTTTCAGTTTTACAATTTTTCGAGGGTTCAGTGTTACAATTTTCCGATTTTTTTGATTTTTTAAAATTCCACTTTTAATAAGTTTGTCCTTTTGTTGAAAAATTAAAAAACGAAAAATTAAAAATAAAGTACTTCCAACTGTGTGATTCCAAGTTGTTTCGTTTCTTCGATTTTTTATTTTCTCAATTCGAGATTTTAAAATTTTTGTTTTTCTGAATTGTTAATTTTTCGATTTTTCCGTGTTTCGTTTTTACATTTTTCGATTTATCGAATTTTTAGTTTATCGATTTTCATTGTGATTTTTATTTTTCAGTAAAATTTTTGTATTTTTCGATTTTTAATTTGTAGATATTTTAATCTTTCGATTTTCTGTCTGTTGAATTTTACAATTTTTCGTTTCTTCGATTTTTCAATTCCTCAATTTTTAATTTATCACTTTTTTCAGGTTTCAATGATACAAAATTTCGATTTTACAGTTTCTATATTTTTCTCAGTTATTCCATTTTTTAATTGCTTTTTGCGTTACCCAATTTTCAGTTTGACAATTTTTTCAATTTTTCGATATTTCAAGTTTGGTTTTTCAATTTTTCATTTTTTCAAGTTTTCCATTTTTAATTTTTTTTTCAAATTTACAAGTTTGTAACTGTTTTATTTTTAAATTTGCCGAATTTAATTTTTCACTTTTTTCAAATAATTTTTAGGGTTTTTATTATTCAATTGTATAATTCTTGGCTTTTCCATTATCCGATTTTTCACTTCCTGTATTTTTTCAATTCTTCAATTTCTCAACTTTCAAATTTCTCGGTTTTCAGTGTTTCGTTTTTTCGATATTACAATTTTTTCATTTTTCCATGTTTCGTTTTTACAATTCCTTAATTTTTTAGTTTTCTGGTTTTCATTTTAGAATTTATGCTTTTGTTGAACAATTAAAAAATGAAAAATCAAGAAAATAAAGAATTAAAAATTGATGATGTTGATTTTTTTCCAAAAATCTGGATGCTAAGGGTAAAAACTCAACACGGGGATTCATAAATCACACATGCAGGAATATGTTATTTTCTAAAATTTAAAGAACATTTGTTCGGTATAATTTTAATTTCTAATTTATTAAAAAACGGGAAAACCCTCTTACAAAATAGTATATGCCAATACACTAACACACTGGAAAAAGTTAAAAACATTCCAACTAAGACACCTAAACACCAATTTAGAAAACAAACAAAAGTAAATTAATTCTTACTAAACTATACCTGAATATGAAGATAAAAGTAGTTAAATAACGATTATAATTAAATAAAAAAGAATTCTAAGATGATAACATTTCAAGTTAAATTGTAAAATACAATTTTGATTTTTTTTCCAAAACAGTCAACATCGGTGTCTGGCCTGTGGTCAGGGATTCTTGTATTGTGGGTTGCAAAGTTTGGCTACCATTATCAATATGTCAACCACTACGCTGATTTTGCAAAACCACCCTTATTGACATTGGAGTCCTCAACCGCCAAAGACAAGCGCCAAATTTAAACAGTCGATGCCAATAAAAAACTTGTTTCACTACAGCTCGTCGCCTGAGAACTTGTTTGATGTACAGACCAGAGCGCGCTCAGGCCAATGTCGACTCTAAGCGTTCAGAAGCGATTTGGTTCGTTTGGACTATATTTTCTGCGGGAATATATTGTTTGGTCAGTTTTTATAACGACTAAGTAAATATTTTTGGTACATATTTAGATCATTTTACATATTTTGTTTAACTAAGAATTAATTCTTTATTTGTGTTTTATACTAGCAAAACGTCTTAAAACTAAGAATATTGTTGAAATCGTAATAATCCAATGGATTTTTTTCGGGAAAATGTTTTGGAAACACTGTGTTCTATTTTGTATGAATTTTTAAATGTTTTTAGTGACGATTTTTGTGGTTGTTTTCGATACACTGTATGATATTAACAGTGAGAAAAAAAATGAAAAATTAAAATAATCGAAAATTCGAAAATCGAGAAATCTAATAAACGAAAAATCGAAACCTTGAAAAATCGTAAAACTGAAACATCAGAAAATCGCAAACATGTAAAATTCAAAAATCTAAAATTTAAAAACAGAATAACGAAAAATCGAAAAACTGGAAAATCGAAAAACCGAGAAATCAAAAGATCAGGAAATCGTGGGTCGAAAAGTCGAACAAATGAGAAACCGAAATAGGCCAAAATCGAAAAGTTAAAAATTCGAAAAATTGAGAAATTAAAAGATCAAAAGAACGAGAAATCGAAAAGTCATGAAGTCGAAAAATCGAAAAATAGAGAAATCGACAAACAAAAAGTTAAAAGTTGAAAAACTAGGAAAAGCGGAAAAATCAAAAAACGAAAAAATGGAAAACTGGAAAAACTAAGAAACCGAAATAGGCCAAAATAAAAAATTGAAAAACTGATAAATCGAAAACCTGAACAATCAAATCTCGATAAATCGGGAATGAAAAATTAACAAATCGAAAAATTGAAAAACAGAACATCTAAAACCAGGAAGTCGAAAAATCGAAAGATTAAGAAATATTGAAAAATTAAAATATCAAAAGATTGAAAAATCTAAAACTTAAAAATCCAAAAATTGAAAAATCGAAAAAGTCAAAAGGTAGACACACCAAAAAATCCAGAAGTCAAAAATAGAAGGGCCGAAGAATTGAAATATTGAAAAATCCTAAAACTGAAAAATCCTAAAACAGAAAAATCCTAAAACTGAAAAATCAAAAATCAAAAAAGTGAAGTCGAAAAATAGAAACCTTAAAAAATCGAAAAATTGAAAAACCAAAAACCTGAAAATAAAAAAATTAAAGAATTGAAGAACAGGAAAATCGAAACACTGATTAATCGAAAAATCGAAAAATTGAGAGTTTATGAAAGTCAAATTTGAAAAATTAAAAAATCGAAAATTTGACAAAATGACAATTGAAAAACAGAAAATCTAAAACCGGGAAGTCGAAAAATCAAGAGATTAAGAAATCGAAACATTTGAAAAATTCAAATATCGAAGAACTGAACTGAAAAATCGAGAAATCGAAAAATCTAAAATTTTAAAAATTAAAAAATACAAAATTTAAAATCGAAAAATTGAAAAATCTAAAAAGTAAAATAATCGACACATCGAAAAATCCAGGAGTCAAAAATCGAAATGTCGAAGAATGGAAATATTGAAACAAAACTGAGATATGGAAAAACTGAAAAATGAAAGATAAACTGAGAATCTAATAACCTGAAAAATCCGAAAACTGAAATATCCAAAAACTGAGAACCTATAAAGTCGAAAAATTGAGCAATCGAAAAATCCAAAAAGTGAAGTCGAAAAATCGAAACCTTGAAAAAACTAAAAAATGAGAAATCGTAAAATTAAAGAATTGAAGAACAGGAATATCGAAACCCTCGAAAGTAAAGAAATGGGAAAATCAAAACATCGATTAATTGTAAAATCGAAAACTTGGCAGTTTATAAATGCCAAATTTGAAAAATTGAAAAATCGAAAATTTGAAAAAACGACAAGTGAATAACAGAAAATCTAAAACAGGAAATCGAAAAATCGATAGATTAAGAAATCAACACATTTGAAAAATTCGAAAACATGAAAAACGGAAATATCGAAGAACTGAAATGAAAAATCGAGAAATCGAAAAATCTAAAATTTTAAATATTGAAAAAGTAAAAAGTCAACACATCGAAAAATCCAGAAGTCAAAAATGGAAAGTCGAAGAACAGAAATATTGAAAAATCCCAAAACTGAAATATCGAAAAACTGAAAAATCCCAAAACTGAGAACCTAAAGAATCGAAAAATCCAAAAAGTGAAGTCGAAATATCGAAACCTGAAAAAATAGAAGAATTGAAAAACCAAACAACCTGACAAATAAGGAGTTTATAAAAGTCAAAAATTGAAAAATCGAAATATTTAAAAATCGTAAAATTGAAGAGAAAAACTGAAAACCGAGAAATTGAAAAATTCAGAAATTGTAAAATCCAAAAATTAAATTGTTCGGTTTTTTAATGTTTCTTTTAGGATTTTTCAGTTTTTAATTTTTTGATTTTTCAATTTTTCAGGTTTACAATTATCCGATTTTTTCATTTTTTAAAATTTCACTTTTAATAAGTTTGCCCTTTCGTTGAAAAATTAAAGAACGAAAAATTGAGAAAATGAAAAATTAAAAATAAAGTACTTCCAAGTATGTAATTCCAAGTTGTTTCGTTTTCTTCGATTTTTTATTTTCTCAATTCGAGATTTTTAAATTTTTCGTTTTTTTAATTGTTTATTCTCTATTTTCATTGTGATTTTTATTTTTCATTAAAATGTTTGTATTTTTCGATTTTTTAATTTGTACATATTTTAATTTTTCGATTTTCTGTCTGTTGAATTTTACAATTTTTCGTTTTTTCGATTTTTCAATTCCTCGATTTTTTTAATTTATCACTTTTTCAGGTTTCAATGTTACAAATTTTCGATTTTACAATTTCTATCTTTTTCTCAGTTGTTCCATTTTTTAATTGCTTTTTTCGTTACCCAATTTTCAGTTTGACAATTTTTTCAATTTTTCGATATTTCAAGTTTGGTTTTTCAAATTTACAATTTTGTAACTGTTTCATTTTTAGATTTGCCGAATTTAATTTTTCACTTTTTTCAAATAATTTTTAGGGTTTTTATTATTCAATTGTACAATTCTTGGCTTTTCCATTATCCGATTTTTCAGTTCCTCTATATTTTCAATTCTTCGATTTCTCAACTTTCAAATGTCTCGGTTTTCAGTGTTTCGTTTTTTCGATGTTACAAGAACCTAAAGAATCGAAAAATTGAGAAATCGAAAAATCCAAAAAGTGAAGTCGAAATATCGAAAAATTCCAAAACTGAAACGTCCAAAAACTGAGAAATTAAAAAATTGAGAAATCGAAAAATCAAAAAAGTGAAGTTGAAAAATCGAAACCTGCGCTCTGGTCTGTAGATCAAACAAGTTCTCAGACGACGAACTGTAATTGTCACCTAAACGCGTCGTTAAAAATATTATGACATTTTTTCTATTGTAGTTAATTTTTTTCCTAGTTAGAAACAAACACTGTTACCAACATAACTCGCTGTGACGCTTCTCTATGTTCCCTGACTACACTAGCGCCACTTGTGGCGTCATTGTAATATTGTAGCAGCTGTTACTCGATTCTCAAATCACTTTTAACACGTAATAATTGCAAGATTTTATTTCAATCCGGAAAAACTGGGAATATAGATACATAATTACTAATTATACAAAAATCCTTAATACAATCTCGTTTCATACGTAATTATTTTTTTGTGTATATTACTGATTGCCAAAGCGTTCAGTTTCGAGTAAAACTCTTTGCACGTTTTAATTTTAAACTTTTTGATAAAAAACTCCCTAAAAACATTTCGCGCTAGCTCGACTAATAAGGGTATTTCTGGAGAATCTTGTACTGAACAATCACGGTTGTAACAAATTTCATTTAATTTAGGATGGACGAAATAATGTCGCAATTCTTTAATACTATCCCTATTATAATGACCCCCATTTTGGAAAAAACGGTTCAAATTCATACTAATGTCATACACGAAAACGGGAATGACATTTTTGCAGTCACTTTCCCTTATTCCCATCTGTACGTCCATGTGCAAAAGAATTTTGAACAATTCGCAATAACCAAACTTTTTATATATCATTTGCAAATCTGACTCTCCAATATTCAAACCATAACTTAATAAATAACAGTACAATTGAGTTATGGTTATTTTGTCACATTCAAGTTCCATTAAATCATGAAATATGACTGTACTATTCAGATTACTAATTAAAGTAATCAAAGTCTGTTTTAAGTCACTGTTGATCATCACATTTAAGTTTTCTAAACAAATAGGTTTGTGATATTTAATATTACAATCTTTATCTGCATCAGAAAACGTACTTTCCGCAAATAACTCATTTATATAGTGGCCAAATTTTTTAATGAAGAAATGCAGACAATCAATATTCATGGAACCCAATATCCAAAAACAGAGAGATAAAAACTCACGCTCAACTGTTATTTTAACAGGGTATTCCATAATCAGGTAGAACAGTGGAGACTTTGCATCAGCAAGTTTTAATAAAACATGCAGTCCCAACTCCACGTCCGAATACTGATCATAAATGTACAAAAACAGAGTTTCTTGTACTTCAAAAGTGTTATCAAGTAAAACAGATTGTTCAAAATTAGAGACTGAAGGTTCCGCCCCATACACCAACAGAGTCATTGCTAGTTCAGTTTCTTTTTCGTACATGGCTAAGTCAAGAGGGGTCTCATGATGTAAGTTCGTAACATTAATCTTAATCCCGCGTTCTATAAGAAGCTTCGCTGTCCTGTAATAATAATTTAAAAACGCGGTGTAAAATGGACTGTCACCTTCGTAATCATCTTCATCGATTCTGGCGCCTTTTTTGACTAGTTCGTATGCAAAATGCTCCAACATCCACGCCTGTCGGTATGAATGATCATGCAGTGCAATAATCAACGCCGATTGGCCTTTTTTGTTCTTGGAGTCGAGAGGAAAATCCGGAATTGACAACAAATAGTCGAAAACTTCGATACTAAAAACGTTCATTTAGATGTTTATCAATGTTATGTCGACGTACTTGTCTTGATGAATTGCTATGTGCAGTAAACCATTGCCATTTACGTCTCGAACGTTATACCATCTGGGGGAATCGAGGAGTTCGCTGAGGGCTTCCACTTGGTTTTGGACGACGGCGGAGATTATACGGGATTTTTTTTTAATCTGGGGGAAATTGAGGTTATGTGGAATCACCAATCAGTGTCGGTTTGTTACCAATGGGGGTCCTGCTCCGTTCCGGTGTCGCCGAAAATAAAATCGCCTTTCACAGTAGTCGTAGAAGTTGTAATTGTCCTCCGAGTCTGAAGAGGACATTTTTGAGTGTCCTGAGTTTTACCAGAAAATGTCACTTGATTTTTATTTTTGGTACCTTGTGATGGCAAGGACTGTTTATATAGGGTGTTCAACTGAAAAAATCATCAAGTTCGTGTTGATTTTTGTAAATATTGTGAAATTGAATCGAATCGAAACTCTGTATAAACAACAAACAACAATATAGAACACTGCTGTCAATAATTCAGTATTGCCAACCCAAAAATTTGATTCAATGCATTGTAGAAGCACAGTATACCAGTAACGAAAGCATACACGCGTGCCGACCAATCACAACAAAACACTTTCAAACTATCGCGAAATTCAAATATTATTCATCCTGCGTATTCAAGTGTTCATTTCCAATATCATAGATCTAAGGAAAACCATACGATTTGTTTTTATATTGTATGTTAATTTTACAGATTTTCCAATTTTCCATTTTACGATTTTTCAATTATTTGAGTTTTAAACTTTTATACGAAATAATTCAGCAATTTTTTGATATAAAATTTCAAATTCTCGATTTTTCATTTTTCAATTGTTCAACAAAAGGACAAATTTATTCAAACCGAAATTTTGAAAAATTTAAAAATCAGAAAACTAACATTGAAACGTCCAAAAATTATAAAATTGAAAAATCAAAAAATTTAAAAATTGAGAAGTTGAAGAATTGAAAAATAAAGAAAAACTGAAAAGACCGAAAAATTCAGAATCAAAATTTGAAAAATGAAACTTGATATATCGAAAAACAAAAATTTCTATAAATTAAATAATCCAAAATACAATAATTATTTGAAAAAAGTGAAAAATAAAAAATCGGCAATTTTAAAAATGAAACAATTGCAAAATCGTAAATTTGAAAAAAAAATTAAAAATGGAAAAATTGAAAAAATGAATAATTGAAAATCAAAAATTGAAAAACCAAACTTGAAAATACAAAAATCCAAAAATGTCAAAATAAACATCGAAAAACTGTAAAATTAAAAAATTGAAATACCGAAATGCTGAAAAATAGCGAAATTCAAAAATCGGATAACGAAAAAATCAGCAATTGGAAAATCAGAAAATAAAAATATCTTAAAATGGAAAAATCGAAAAAACGAGAAACTGTCGAGTCTAAAAATTATAACATTGAAACCTGAAAAAACTGACGAAATAAAAATCGAGAAATTGAAAAAGTCAACAAAAAGATTTTGCAGTTTTTTGATGTAAAATTTTTCAAATTCTCAATTTTTAATTGTTTATTTTCTCGATTTCTCATTTTTTAATTGTTCAACAAAAGGACAAATTTATTCAAACCAAAATTTTGTAAATTTTAAAAATCAGAAAATCGTAACATTGAAATGTCTAAAAATTATAAAACTGAAAAATCAATAAACTTAAAAATTGAAAAAATAAAGAAAAACTGAAAAAGCCGAAAAAATGAGAATCAAAAATGGAAAAATGAAACTTGATATATCGAAAAATTTTAAAACTGAAAACTCGAAAATGAAAAAATTGAGAAATTAAACAAATGGATAATTGAAAAAACAATTGAAAAATCGAAAAACTGTAATATAGAAACCTGAAAACCCTGATTAATTAAAAATCGAGAAAGTGAAAAATTGAAAAAACAAAAAACAAAAACTTCTACAAATTAAATAATCAAAAATACAAAAAAAAAATAATTTCAAAATTCAACAATTTTAAAATGAAAGCCGGAAAACTAAAAAATGAAGGAATTGTAAAAACGAAACATGGAAAAACCCAAAAATTTGAAAGTTGAGAAATCGAAGAATTGAAAAAATACAGAAACTGAAAAATCGGATAATGGAAAAGACAAGAATTGTACAATTGAATAATAAAAATCCGAATAATTATATGAAAAAAGTGAAAAATAAAAAATCGGCAAATTTAAAAATGAAACGATTACAAAATCGTAAATTTGAAAAAAAAAAAATGGAAAAATTGAAAAAATCAAAAATTGAAAATCAAAAATTGAAAAACCAAACTTGAAAATGCAAAAAATTTAAATTGAAAAATCTAAAAATGTCAAAATAAACATCGAAAAACTGTAAAATTAAAAAATTGAAATACCGAAACGTTGAAAAAATAGCGAAATTAAAAAATCGGATAACGAAAAAATCAACAATTGGAAAATCAAAAAATTAAAATATCTTAAAATGGAAAAATTGAAAAAACGAGAAACTGTCAAGTCTAAAAATTATAACATTGAAGCCCAAAAAATCTTACAAAATAAATATCGAGAAATTGAAAAAATCAACAAAAAGATTTTGCAGTTTTTCGATGTAAAATTTTTCAAATGATCAATTTTTAATTCTTTATTTTCTCGATTTTTCATTTTTTAATTGTTCAACAAAAGGACAAATTTATTCAAACCAAAATTTTGAAAAATTTAAAAATCAGAAAAATGTAACATTGAAACGTTTAAAAATTATAAAATTGAAAAATCAAAAAACTTAAAAATTGAGAAGTTGAAGAATTGAACAAATAAAGAAAAACTGAAAAAACCGAAAAAATGAGAATCAAAAACTAACAAAATGAAACTTGATATGTATATCGAAAAATTTTAAAATTGAAAAATCGAAAAATAAAAAAATGATAAATTAAACAAGTGGATAATTGAAAAGCAATTGAAAAATTAAAAAATTGTAATATAGAAATCTGAAAATCATGATTAATTAAAAATCGAGAAATTGAAAAAACGAAAAACAAAAATTTCTATAAATTAAATAATCAAAAATGCAAAAAAAAAATTTCAAAACCCAAAAATTTTAAAATGAAAACCGGAAAATTAAGAAATTGTAAAAACGAAACATGGAAAAATTTAATAGTTGAGAAATCGAAGAATTGAAAAAATACAGAAACTGAAAAATGGGATAATGGAAAAGCCAAGAATTGTACAATTGAATAATAAGGACCCTAATAATTATTTGAAAAAAGTGAAAAATTAAAAATCGCCAAATTAAAAAAAAAACAGTTACAAAATGGAAAATTTGAAAAAATTAAAAATTGTAAATCAAAAATTGAAAAACCAAACTTGAAATATCGAAAAATTGAAAAAATTGGCAAACTGAAAATTGGATAACGAAAAAAGCAATTAAAAAATGTAACAATGAGAAAAAGATAGAAACTGTAAAATCGAAAATTTGTAACATTGAATCCTGAAAAAGTGATAAATTAAAAATCGAGGAATTGAAAAATCGAAAAAACGAAAAATTATAAAATTCAACAGATAGCAAATCGAAAAATTAAAATATCGACAAATTAAAAAATCGAAAGATACAAAAATTTTACTGAAAAATAAAAATTATAACGAAAATCGAAAAACTAAAAATTCGAGAAATCGAAAAATGTAAAATCGAAACACGGAAAAATCGAAAAATTAACAATTAAAAAAACAAAAATTTAAAAATCTAGAATTGAGAAAATAAAAAATCGAAGATACGAAACAACTTGAAATTACATACTTGGAAGTTTTTTATTCTTAATTTTTCATTTTCTCAATATTTCGTTTTTTAATTCTTCAACAAAAGGACAAACTTATTAAAAGTGAAATTTTAAAAAATCAAAAAATCGGAAACTTTTAACACTGACTGAAACATCGAAAAATTGTAAAACTGAAAAATTGAAAAATCAAAAAATTAAAAATTGAAAAATCGAAAAAGAAACATTGAAAAACCGAACAATTTAAAAATTGAGAAATCGAAGAACTGCAAAAATAAAGAAACTCAAAATCGAAGAATTAAGAGGTCGACAATTGGAAAAAGGCAAAATTGTAACATCAAAAATGAAAAAACGGAAAATTTAAAAAACAGAAAACTGCAACGATTAAAAATCGAGAAATTGAAACATCGACAAAACGAAACGATTCTGCAATTTTTGATATGAAAAATTTCAAATTCTCGTTCAACAAAAGGACAAATTTATTCAAACTGAACTTTTGAAAAATCGAAACATTGTAACACTGAAACAGCAAAACACAAAATAATTAAAAATCGAGAAATTGAAAAAATCAACAAAAAGCAACAATTTTGCAGATTTTCGATATAAAATTTTTCAAATTCTCAATTTTTAATTCTTTATTTTCTCGATTAATCATTTTTTAATTGTTCAACAGAAGGACAAATCTATTCAAACCGAAAATTTGAAAAATTTAAAAATCAGAAAACTGTAACATTGAAACGTCTAAAAATGATAAAACTGAAAAATCAATAAACTTAAAAATTGCGGACTTGAAGAATTGAAAAAATAAAGAAAAACTGAAAAAACCGAAAAAATGAGAATCAAAAATTAAAAAATGAAACTTGATATATCGAAAAATTTTAAAACTGAAAACTCGAAAATGAAAAAAATGAGAAATTAAACAAGTGGATAATTGAAAAAACAATTGAAAAATCGAAAAATTGTAATATAGAAATCTGAAAACCCTGATTAATTAAAAATCGAGAAAGTGAAAAATTGAAAAAACGAAAAACAAAAACTTCTATAAATTAAATAATCAAAAATACAAAAAAAAAATAATTTCAAAATCCAAACATTTATGAAAACCGGAAGACTAAAAAATAAAGAAATTGTAAAAACGAAACATGGAAAAATTAAAAAATTGTAACATCGAAAAAACGAAACACTGAAAAACCGAAAAATGTAAAAGTTCAGAAATAGAAGAATTGCAAAAATAGAGGAACTGAAAAATCGCATAATGGAAAAGCCAAGAATTGTACAATTGAATACAATTATAAATTTTAAATAAAAAAAAATGAAAAATTGAAAAATTGAAAAAATGAAAAATTGAAAATCAAAAACTGAAAAAGCAAACTTGAAATATCGAAAAAACTGAAAATTGAGTAACGAAAAAAGCAATTAAAAAATATAAACTGTAAAATCGAAAATTTGTAACATTGAAACCTGAAAAAGTGATAAATTAAAAATCGAGGAATTGAAAAATCGAAAAAACAAAAAATTGTAAAATTCAACAGATAGCAAACCGAAAAATACAAAAATTTTACTGAAAAAGAAAAATCATAATGAAAATCGAAAAACTAAAAATTCTAGAAATCGAAAAATGTTAAAACGAAACACGGAAAAATCGAAAAATTAACAATTAAAACAACAAAAATTTTAAAATCTCGAATTGGGAAAATAAAAAATCGAAGAAACGAAACAACTTGGAATTACATACTTGGAAGTATTTTATTTTTAATTTTTCATTTTTTCAATTTTTCGTTTTTCAATTTTTCAATAAAAGGACAAACTTATTAAAAGTGAAACTATAAAAAACTGAAAAATCAAAAAATTAAAAACTGAAAAATCGAAGAAGAAACATTGTAAAACCGAACAATTTAAAAGTTGAAAAATCGAAGAACTGCAAAAATAAAGAAACTCAAAATCGAACAATTAAGAGCTCAACAATTGGAAAAGGAGAAATTGTAACCTTAGAAATGAAAAAACTGAAAATTTGAAAAACAGAAAAATCGAAAAATTGCAAAATTGAAAACCAAAAATAGAAAAAACGAAACTTAAAACTTGAGAAACTGAAAACTTCGATAATTGAAAAAACAACCGAAAATTTAAAAAATTGAAAAAAAAGAAACTGTAACATCGAAAAACTGATTAATTAAAAATCCAGAAATGGAAAAATACGGAAAACAAAATTTTCTAGAAATAGAAAAATCGACAAATTGAAAAATCCAAAAATGTCAAAATAAGCATCGAAAACTGAATAATTGAAAAATAAAAATACCTTAAAATGGAAAAATCGATAAAACGAGAAACTCAAATCTAAAAATTATAACATTGAAACTTGAAAAACTGACGAAATAAAGATCGAGAAACTGAAAAATCGACAACGAAAAATGAGAAAGTGCAAGAACTCCAAAATAAAAATCGAAAAGCCAAGAGTCTTAAAAACTTCAAAAATTGATGCGAATTAAGAAAAAATTGAATTTAGCGCCGATGTACTTTGTTGTGATTGGTCGGCACGGGTCTGTGATCTTGAGCAAACCAAAGATGAGCATGAGCTATTCTAACCTAAAATCCATGAACTATTTTCCTCTTAATTTTAAAAAATAACAGTCAACAAGAACAAATATAATTGCTTCAATGTGTTATTAACCACAGGACAATAATTATTGCAGTACTGTAAAAGCAAAAACATTCGACTCATCAAAAGCCAAATCAAATTTTGTCGCAAAATTCAGTGAAACACACTCAAACATGTCTTCGTCAGATTCTGAGGACTCTTACAACTACGACCACTACCATTTAGGAGTGTACGCATACGAAGGACCACCACTGGTACTCATTCCACATAACCTCACACAACATAACCTCAATTTCCCTGCAGATTAAAAAAAAGTCTCGTTTAATTGCCGCCGTCGTCCAAAACCAAGCAGACATCCTCAGAGACCTCCTCGATTCTCCCAAGTGGTACAACGTTCGAGACGCTTTGGGTTACAATTTGCTGCAAATAGCAATTCTTCGAGACAAGTATGTCGACAGCCAAAACTCCTAAATAGCTAAGTGCACGGTTTTTTAGCATCGAAGTCTTCGACTATATGTTATCCATACCGAATTTTCCCCTCGAGTTTGTCAATAAAGAAGGCCAAACAGCGTTGGTAGTTGCATTAGATGGTTTTGTCAACAACGATGTATGGATGAGGGAGCATTTTGCATATGAACTAATCAAAAAAGGTGCCTGCATTAATAAAATTTGTTTTAATGATAACACACCATTGCACTGTGCGTTGGAGCGTTGTTATTATAAGGCGGCTAAGCTCCTTATACAGCGGGGGGCTGACGTTAATTTGATCAACTGTGATGATTGTACTCCACTTGACCTAGCCTTATTAATGTCCAATAATATAACTGAGATTGTAACGATTTTGTTAGTATATGGAGCACAACCAACGGTTTCCCATTTTGAGCGATCTGTTCTCTACAATTCGTCTTTTGAAGTACCAGAATGTCTGTTTCTGTACCTTTATGATCAGTATTCAGACCTTGAGTTGCGCCTGGATGTATTATTAATACTTGCTGAGGCAAAAGCGCCACTGTTCTACCACATTATTGAATGCCCTATTAAAATAACAATCCATTATCAGTCCTTAGGTCTCTACTTTCGCTTATTGAGTTCTATGAGCATGGATTGTCTGCATCTCGTCATCCGAAAATTTGGCCACTTCATAAACAAAGCGTTTTCGAGTGGCAGATTTTCAGGTACTGTGTACGTGTATTATCATGATAAGGCTATTTGTTTAGAAAACTTAAACGTGATGCTCAAAAGCGAATTAAGACCAACTGTGATTACTTTTATTAATAGTGTGAATAGTAGCGAGATATTTCAGGATTTGATAGGGCTTGGTTGTGATGAAAAAACCATAACCGAACTGTACTGTTATTTATTAAGTTACGGTTTGAATCTTGGGGAGTTAGATTTGCAAATTATATACAAAAAGTTTGGTTATTGCGAATTGTTTAAAATTCTTCTGCACATGGACGTGCAGATGAGCATTCGGTGGCGTTACACGAAAAATGTGGTGCCTGTTTTCGTGTATGATATTAACATGAATTTAGAACGCTTTTTCCAAGATCATACTAATTATTGTGTGAATAGTATTAATGAATTACGACGATACTTCTCCCATCCTAAATTAAATGAAATTTGTTGTCACAACCATGCGACGGGTGGTTATTCAGCAGAACAAGATTTTCAAAAAATTCCCCGATTAATAGAACTAGCGCGAAATATTTTTAGGAAGTTTTTTATAAAAAAGTTTAAGATCAAAACGTGCACAGAGTTTTACTCGAGACTCAATGGCCTGCCAATTAGTAACATACACAAAAAGATTATTACGTATGAAACGACATTATATTAAACATATTTATTTGTATGGTTATAGTTTTTCTATTTTTGTTACTACTTAGTATTTTTTCTATGTAATTAAAACAAATGCTGAAACTACAACATGCGTTAAAATTAATTGGAGAATACCTAATAGCTGCTGTAATGTAACCACGAAAATATTAATTTTTTTGCATCACCCTGTATAGGCAAATCGACAACGAGAAACGGTACTGCAAACAAAACTCAGGCGGCAGCTCTTTGACTGCTTGGCTGCAAGTCATAAATTAGTGGAACGCCCGGAAGTGGCCAATTTACAGCACATTGCCAACAGGAATAGCGGTGTCTGAGCAATATGCGTAAATTTTCCAATTTTTCACTTTACGATTTTTCAATTATTCCATTTTTTGCTTTGTTAGTTCTCCGATTTTACAGTTTTTTGAGTTTTAGGTAAACTTAAAAGAACAAATTTATCCAAACTAAAATATTGGAAAATCGGAAGATTTTATCATTGAAACAATGAAGAATACAAAAATTTTGTTAAATAAAGATCCAAAAATTTCAAAATGAAAATCGAGACACCGAAAAATTGTAAAAACATGGAAAAATTGAAAATAAAACTGCAAAATCGGATAATTGAAAAATTGGAAAAACGAAAAAATACAAAATCTTGAAACTGAAACATCAAAAACTCGAAAAACGAAATAATAACAAAAGCATATTTTTTGGGAAAATATCTTTGCACTTTGAACAAATTGAAACAAATCGTGGACTTCTTGACCATTAAACTTGAAGTTACATTTATTAAACAATTTCTTTCTGGGATCAGTGGTAATCTTATGCCTAGGTAGTTTTTGAAATTTGCTTTATTTACATTTTATTATATAAATATCATTATTAATATTTTGGTGTTTTATTTTTTAAAGAATTCTAAGGAGTCTCAGCTATTCGTAGAGGTCTGTTATTAAAAGAATTTGAAAGAATCTTGAAAATCTCTGACCTACTTTTTGAAAAAATTCTAATGAATCTGAGGATTCTTTGGTGATTTATTTTTGTTAGAATTTTAAACAATCTTAGCGGTGTTTTGATTTTGAAAGAACCGTAAAGAATCTTTGAAACTTCACGCAATTTGATTTCGAAAGAATTTAAAATGATCTTGGGGACCCTCATGTTTTATTTTTGAAAGAAATTGAAAGAATCTCGAGGATTTCTGATCTAACTTTTGAAAGAATTCTGCGGAAATTTAGGGGCTCCCAGTGTTTCTTTTTTTAAAGAGTCGTAGAGTCCTCTGGTGTTTTATTTTTTTAAAAAGAATTCTTAACATATTTCAGGCGTTCGTGCTGTTTTGTTTTTGAAAGAATTTGAAAGAATCTCAAGGGGGGCTGTTCCAATTTTTGAAAGAACCTTAAAGAATCTTGAAGGCTCCTAGTCCCCCATTTTTGAAGTAATTCGACAGAATTTTAGGAGATTCTAGAATTAATAATCTCTAGCGCCTCTAACCTCATTTTCGAAAGAATTCTAATGAATCTCAGATACCCTTCACGGTTTTTGAAAGGATTTGAAAGAACTTTGGGAGCCTCTAGTGTTTTATTTCTTAAAATTCTACAGTATATTGAGAACTCATGGTCCCCTATTTTTGAAAGAATTTTACAGAATTTTAGGGGCTTCAAGCGTTTTGTATTTTGGCAGAATCTTGAGGGTCTCCGACTCAATTTTTGAAAGAATTCTAATGAATCTCAGAGGTTCCTGGTGGTTTGTTTTTGAAAGAATTCTACATAATTTCAAAGGTTTCCCGGTATTTTGTTTTTGGAAAAATCTTGGGACTCTCGACGTTTCATTTTTGGACGAGGGTCTCTGATTCAATTTTTGAAAAAATTCCAACGAATCTCAGAGGTTTTTGAAAGAATCCTGAACGTCCTTGGTTATTTATTTTTTAAAAAACTCTGAAGAATTTTAGAGGTCCCAACTATCGTTTTTCAAAGCAGTTGAAAGAATCTAGAGAGTCTCTGATCTAATTTTTGACAGAATTCACATGAATGTCAGGAGTCCCTGCTGTTTTGTTTTTGAATAAATCTTGGGAACCCTTGATGTTTCGAGGGGACTTGGTGTTTTATTTTTTAAAGAATTCTAAGGAGTCTCCCAGTTATTCGTACAGGTCTGTTTTTAAACGAATTGTAAAGAATCTTGAGACCCCTAGTGTTTTTTTTTGAAAGAAAAATTCTGGTGAATCTTAGGGGCCTTCGGTGTTTTATTTTTGATAGAACCCTAAAGAATCTTAGAAACTCCTCTCAATTTGCTTTTGACAGAAATTGGGGGACTCTGATGTTTTATTTTTGAAATAATTCGAAGGAATCTCAAGTACTCTTAGCCGTTTTTGAGAGAATTTGAAAGAATCTTAGGAACTCCTAGTGTTTTGTTTTCAAAGAATTGTAAAATATCTTGAGGGCCCCAGATCCCCATTTTTGAAAGAATTTTTTAGACTTTTAGGACCTGAAACGTTTTGTTTTCTGAAAAATCTTCGGTAATCCTGATGTTTTAAATTTGAAAGAATTCTACAGAATTTTAGGGACTTCCGGCTTTTATTTTTTTTGTGGAATTATGGGGTCCTCTGGTGTTTTATTTTTAGAAAAGAATTCTAAAGAATCCCAGAGGTCTCTGATGCTTTGTTTTTAAAAGAAATTGAAAGAATCTTGAAAATCTCTGATCTACTTTTTGAAAGAATTCCAATGAATCTCAGAATTCCTTGGTGTTTTATTTTTGTTAGAATTTTAACCAATCTTAGTGGTGTTTTGATTTTGAAAGAACCGTAAAGAATCTTAGAAACTTCACGCAATTTGATTTTGAAAGAATTTAAAATAATCTTGGGGACTCTGATGTTTTATTTTTGAAAGAAATTGAAAGAATCTCGAGGATTTCTGATTTAACTTTTGAAAGAATTCTGCGGAATTTTAGGGGCTCCCGGCGTTTCTTTTTTTAAAGAATCATAGAGTCCTCGGGTGTTTTATTTTTTAAAAAAGAATTCTTAACAAATCTCAGGGGTTCATGCTGTTTTGTTTTTGCAAGAATTTGAAAGAATCTCAAGGGGGGCTGTTCTGATTTTTGAAAGAACTTTAAAGAATCTTGAAGGCTCCTAGTCCCCCATTTTTGAAGTAATTCTACAGAATTTTAGGGGATTCTAGAATTAATAATCTCTAGCGTCTCTAACCTCATTTTCGAAAGAATTCTAATAAATCTCAGATGTCCTTCACGATTTTTGAAAGGATTTGAAAGAATCTTGGGAGCCTCTAGTGTTTTATTTCGAAAAAATTCTACAGTACATTGAGAACCCATGGTCCCCTATTTTTGAAAGAATTTTACAGAATTTTAGGGGGTTCAAGCGTTTTGTTTTTGGTAGAATCTGGAGGGTCTCTGATTCAATTTTTGAAAGAATTTTAATGAATCTTAGAGGTTCCTGGTGGTTTGTTTTTGAAAGAATTCTACATAATTTTAAGGGCTTCCCGGCATTTTGTTTTTGGAAAAATCGTGGGACTCTCGACGTTTCATTTTTGGACGAGGGTCTCTGATGCAATTTTGAAAGAATTCCAACGAATCTCAGAAGTTTTTGAAAGAATCTTGAAGGCCCTTGTTCACTTATTTTTTAAAGAATTCTGTAGAATTTTAGAGGTTCACAACTATCGTTTTTAAAAGAAATTGAAAGAATCTTGAGAGTTTCTGATATAATTTTTGATAGAATTCACATAAATGTCAGGATTCCCTGCTATTTTGTTTTTGAATAAATTTTGGGGACCCTTGATGTTTCGAGGGGACTTGGTGTTTTATTTTTTAAAGAATTCTAAGGAGTCTCAACTATTCGTAGATGTCTGTTTTTAAAAAAATTTGATAGAATATGGAGACCCCTAGTGTTTTCTTTTGAAAGAAAAATTCTAGTGAATCTTAGTGGTCTTCGGTGTTTTATTTTTGATAGAACCTTAAAGAATCTTATAAACTCCTCTCAATTTGCTTTTGACAGAAATTGGGGGACCCTGACGTTTTATTTTTGAAAGAATTCGAAGGAATCTCAAGTACTCTTAGCCGTTTTTGAGAGAATTTGAAAGAATCTTAGGAACTCCAAGTGTTTTGTGTTCAAAGAATTGTAAAATATCTTGAGGGCCCCTGGTCACCATTTTTGAAAGAATTTTTTAGAATTTCAGGACCTGAAACGTTTTGTTTTCTGAAAAATCTTCGATAATCCTGATGTTTTAAATTTGAAAGAATTCTACAGAATTTTAGGGAGTCCCAGCTTTAATTTTTTTTATGGAATTGTGGGGTCCTCCGGTGTTTTATTTTTAGAAAAGAATTATAAAGAATCTCAGGGGTCTCTGACGCTTTGTTTCTAAAAGAAATTGAAAGAATCTTGAAAATCTCTGATCTACTTTTTGAAAGAATTCCAATGAATCTCAGGATTCCTTGGTGTTTTATTTTTGTTAGAATTTTAACCAATCTTAGTGGTGTTTTGATTTTGAAAGAACCGTAAAGAATCTTAGAAACTTCACGCAATTGGATTTTGAAAGAATTTAAAATAATCTTGGGGACTCTGATGTTTTATTTTTGAAAGAAATTGAAAGAATCTCGAGGATTTCTGATCTAACTTTTGAAAGAATTCTGCGGAATTTTAGGGGCTCCCGGCGTTTCTTTTTTTAAACAATCATAGAGTCCTCTGGTGTTTTATTTTTTAAAAAAGAATTCTTAACAAATTTCAGGAGTTCATGCTGTTTTGTTTTTGAAAGAATTTGAAAGAATCTCAAGGGGGACTGTTCTAATTTTTGAAAGAACTTTAAAGAATCTTGAAGGCTCCTAGTCCCCCATTTTTGAAGTAATTCTACAGAATTTTAGGGGATTCTAGAATTAATAATCTGTAGCGTCTCTGACCTCATTTTCGAAAGAATTCTAATGAATCTCAGGGGCCTCTGGTATTTATTTTTAAAGAAATATTAAGAGCCCTTGATTTCTTATTTTTGTATTTTGAATATTTATTTATTTTTTAAAAAGAAATCTAAGGTTCCTGGTGTTTTGTTTAGCCAGTGTACAATAAAATATGCACACATTTTGACAGAAGAATTTCGTGTGTGTGAAATAATAAAAATAATAATTTTTTTTTATTTATTGGGTCAATGTCCGTCTTACCTGTAGTCAGGGATGTATTATGGGTTGCATAAGTGTGGCGACTATGGTCATCAATATGTCGACGCTCACACTCACACCACTTAGAACATTTCTATAATATTTTAGCAGCTGTTATTTTTAAGTCATTTTTAACACATGATAATTGCAATATTTAATTTCAATGCGGAAAAACTGGGTAAATAACAACAAATGGGTTTTACGTTTTAGTAACAAAAATAGATACATAACTATATATATAAAAATTGTTAATACAATGTCGTTTCATACGTAATGATCTTTTTGTGTACATGGCTAATTGGTAGGCCGTTGAGTCTCGTGTAAAATTCTTTGCACGTTTGAATTTTAAACTTTTTTATAAAAAACTCCCTAAAAACATTTCGTGCTAGCTCTACCAATACGGGCATTTCTGGAGAATCTGGTACCGAATAATCACAGTTGTAACAAATTTCATTTAATTCAGGGTGGACGAAATAATGTCGTAATTCATTAATACTGTCCTCACAATAACGAAGATGCTCTTCGAACAAACGGTTCAAATTCATATTGATATCATACACGAAAACAGCCACCGCATTTTTCACGGAATCCTCTGAAATACCCATCTGTACGTCCATGTGCAAAAGAATTTTGAAAAATTCGCAGTAACCGAACTTTTTATATACAGTTTGCAAATCTGACTCTCCAATATTCAAACCATAACTTAATAAATAACAGTAGAAATGGGTTATGGCTGTTTCGTCATATATTTCCATCAAATCCTGAAATATCAGTGTACTATTTGCATTACTAATAAAATTAATCACAGTCGGTCTTAATTCACTGCTGAGCATCACATTTAAATTTTTTAAACAAATAGGCCTCTCATATGCAATATCAAAATTTTCATATGGATCAGAAAATATACCTTTTGCAAATAATTCATTTATATAGAGACCAAATTTTTGAATGAAGAAAATTAGACAATCAGTATTCATGGAACCCAACATGCGAAGATAGAGATCTAAAGAACGATATTTAATTGTTATTTTAATAGGGCATTGAATAATGTGGTAAAACAGTGGCGATTTCGCATCAGCAAGTTTTAGTAACACATCCAGGCCCAACTCCACGTCAGAGTACTGATCATAAATGTACATAAATAGAGTTTCTTGTACTTCAAAAGTGTTATCATATAAAACAGATTGTTCAAAATTATAGACCGTAGGTTGCGCCCCATACACTAACAGAGTCATTGCTAATTCGCTTTGATTTTCAAACATAGCTACGTCAAGAGGGGTCTCACGATACGAGTTTATAACATTAACATCAGCCCCCCGTTGTATAATAAGCTTAGCCGTCCTAAAGTAACTATTTAATAAAGCAGCGTGTAGTGCATTCTGTCCTTGAAAAGACTCTTCATCAATACAGGCACCTTTTTTGATGAGTTCATACGCAAAATGTTCCCTCATCCATACATATATCCCTCTAAATTCATGACTACCAAGTGCAAATATCAACGCTGTTTGGCCTTTTTTGTTCTTAAACTCGAGTGGAAAATTCGGTATTGATAACAAATAGTCGAAGACTTCAACGCTAAAAAACATTCGCTTAGCGCTATTTATTAATCTTTGCAGGCGAAGTACTTGTCTCGAAAAATTGCTATTTGTAGTAGACTGTAACCATTTGCGTCTCGAACTTTATACCATCTGGGGGAGTCGAGAAGGTTGCGGAGGATTTCCACTTGGTTTTGGACGACGGCGGCGATTAAACGAGATTTTTTTTTAATCTGGAAGGAAATTGAGGTTATGTTGTGGAAGGTTATGTGAATAATTACCAATTTATATCATTTTGTTACCAATGGGGGTCCTGCTTGGTTCTCGTATTGGCTTACACTGTAGTAGCCGAATTGGTACGAGTCCTCAGAGTCTGAAGAGGACATTTTTGAAATTGAGAGTCGTCTGAATTTTGCCAGAAAATATGACCTAATTTTTATTTTTAGTATCTTGTACATATTTGCATGGTCGGTGGTTTATATGGGAATTATATATAGGATGTTCAGTTGAAAAAGTCATCAGGTTGACTTTGATTTTTTGTAAACATTGTGAAATTTAATCGAATGGAAACTGTCGAAACAAACAACAGACAACAGTACAGATTAATAAAACACATGCATTTTCGCCACGTTGACTTTCAAATTTCAATTGAACACCCGTTATTTGTATTGTCGCGCCGTGATTTTTTTTTTGTCAGATTGGCAGCGTATTTAAAATTTTATGATGGCATACCTGATTTCAAATTCAGATTTTAGACACCAATTTAGCAAAGAACATAGAGAAGCGTCATAGTTTAAATTAAATGACGGTTAAGGACTCCTCGACTTATGTTGGCAACAGTGTTTGTTTCTAACTAAAATTAACTAGAAAAAATGTCTCAGTTTTTCGAAAGTTTAGTTTGGGGACTTTTCAATTTACTCCTATTTATTATTCAATTTTTGGACTTTGCAATTTCTGAATTTTTCAATTTCCCGGTTTTCAGTTTTTCTCTTCAATTTTCCGATTTTTAAATATTTCGATTTTTCAATTTTTGACTTTTATAAACTCTTTATGTGTCAATTTTTCAATTGATTGATTTTTCAGGTTGTTTGGTTTTTCAATTTTTCTATTTTTTCAGGTTTCGATTTTTCAAGTTCACTTTTTTGATTTTTCGATTTCTCAATTTTTCAATTTTTTTATTTCTCAGTTTTTGGACATTTCAGTTTTGGGATTTTTCAGTTTACCTCTTATTCAATTTTTCGATCTTACGATTTTGCAGGTTTTTGATTTTTCAATTTTTCGATTTTTTTAAGGTTTCGATATTTCGACTTCACTTTTTAATTTTTCGATTCTTTAGGTTCTCAGCTTTTGGATATTTCAGTTTTGGGATTTTTCGATATTTCTGTTCTTCGACTTTTCCATTTTTGACTTCTGAATTTTTCGAAATTTGAGATTTCTCAATTTTTTGGTATTTTAATTTTTCAATATTTAAAATTTTAGATTTTTCGATTTTTCATTTCAGCCTCTTCATATTTCAATTTTTCAAATGTTTCGATTTTAGATTTTCTGTTTTTCAATTGTCGCTCTTTCAATTTTTCGATTTTTAAATTTTAGATTTTTGAGTTTTTTGATATTTTAATTTTTCAATATTTAAAAATTTAGATTTTTCGATTTCTCGATTTTTCATTTCAGCCCTTCCATATTTCAATTTTTCAAATGTTTCGATTTTAGATTTTCTGTTTTTCAATTGTCGTTTTTTCAATTTTTCGATTTTTAATTTTAGATTTTTGAGTTTTTTGATATTTTAATTTTTCAATATTTAAAATTTTAGATTTTTCGATTTCTCGATTTTTTATTTCAGTTCTTCGATATTTCCGTTTTTCATGTTTTCGAATTTTTCAAATGTTTTGATTTCTTAATCTATCGATTTTTGGACTTCCTGGTTTTAGATTTTCTGTTTTTCACTTGTCGTTTTTTCAAATTTTCGATTTTTCAATTTTTCGATTTTACAATTAATCGATGTTTCGATTTTCCCATTTTTTGACTTTCGAGGGTTTCGATATTCCTGTTCTTCAATTCTTAATTTTTCGATTTTTCATTTTTTAGTATTTTTAAGGTTTCGATATTTCGACTTCACTTTTTAATTTTTCGATTTCTCAATTTTTCGATTATTTAGATTCTCAGCTTTTGGATATTTCAGTTTTGGGATTTTTCGATATTTCTGTTCTTCGACTTTTCCATTTTTGACTTCTGGATTTTTCAAAATTTGAGATTTCTCAATTTTTTGGTATTTTAATTTTTCAATATTTAAAATTTTAGATATTTCGATTTCTTGATTTTTCATTTCAGCCCCTCCATATTTCAATTTTTCAAATGTTTCGATTTTAGATTTTCTGTTTTTCAATTGTCGTTTTTTCAATTTTTCGATTTTTAAATTTTAGATTTTTCAGTTTTTTGATATTTTAATTTTTCAATATTTAAAATTTTAGATTTTTCGATTTCTCGATTTTTCATTTCAGCCCTTCCATATTTCAATTTTTCAAATGTTTCGATTTTAGATTTTCTGTTTTTCAGTTGTCGTTTTTTCAATTTTTCGATTTTTAAATTTTAGATTTTTGAGTTTTTTGATATTTTAATTTTTCAATATTTAAAATTTTAGACTTTTCGATTTCTCGATTTTTCATTCCAGTTCTTCGATATTTCCGTTTTTCATGTTTTCGAATTTTTCAAATGTTTTGATTTCTTAATCTATCGATTTTTGAACTTCCCGGTTTTAGATTTTCTGTTTTTCACTTGTCGTTTTTTCAAATTTTCAATTTTTCAATTTTTCGATTTTACAATTAATCGATGTTTTGATTTTCCCATTTTTTGACTTTCGAGGGTTTCGATATTCCTGTTCTTCAATTCTTAATTTTTCGATTTTTCATTTTTTAGTATTTTTAAGGTTTCGATATTTCGACTTCACTTTTTAATTTTTCGATTATTTAGGTTCTCAGCTTTTGGATATTTCAGTTTTGGGATTTTTCGATATTTCTGTTCTTCGACTTTTCCATTTTTGACTTCTGGATTTTTCGAAATTTGAGATTTCTCAATTTTTTGGTATTTTAATTTTTGAATATTTAAAATTTTAGATTTTTCGATTTCTCGATTTTTCATTTCAGCCCTTCCATATTTCAATTTTTCAAATGTTTCTATTTTAGATTTTCTGTTTTTCAATTGTCGTTTTTTCAATTTTTCGATTTTTAAATTTTAGATTTTTGAGTTTTTTGATATTTTAATTTTTCAATATTTAAAAGTTTAGATTTTTCGATTTTTCATTTCAGTTCTTCGATATTTCCGTTTTTCATGTTTTCGAATTTTTCAAATGTTTTGATTTCTTAATCTATCGATTTTTCGACTTCCCGGTTTTAGATTTTCTGTTTTTCAATTGTCGTTTTTTCAAATTTTCGATTTTTCAATTTTTCAAAGTTGGCATTTATAAACTGTCAATTTTTCGATTTTACTATTAATCGAAGTTTTGATTTTCCCACTTTTTGACTTTCGAGGGTTTCGATATTTCTGTTCTTCAATTCTTTAATTTTTCGATTTTTCATTTTTTAGTTTTTTTAAGGTTTCGATTTTTCGATTTCACTTTTTGGATTTTTCGATTGCTCAATTTTTCGACTTTTTAGGTTCTCAGTTTTTGGATATTTCAGTTTTCGGATTTTTCAGGTTATTAGATTCTCAGTTTATCTTCCATTTTTCAGTTTTTCGATATCTCAGTTTTGGGATTTTTCAATATTTCGATTCTTCGACACTTCGATTTTTGACTCCTGGATTTTTCGATGTGTCGGTTTTTTTACTTTTTCTGTTTTTCAATTTTTCGATTTTTTAATTTTCGATTTTTTAATTTTTAAAATTTTCGAATTTTTCAAATGTTTCGATTTCTTAATTTTTTGATTTTTCAACTTCCCGGTTTTAGATTTTCTGTTTTTCAATTGTCTTTTATCAAATTTTCGAATTTGTAATTTTTCAAATTTGACTTTCATAACTCCCAATTTTTCGATTTTTCAATTAATCGATGCTTTGATTTTCCCATTTCTTGACCTTCGAGTGTTTCGATTTTCCTGCTCTTCAATTCTTTAATTTTTTGATTTTTCGGGTTTTTGATTTTTCAATTTTTAGATTTTTTCAGATTTCTACTTTTCGACTTCACTTATTTGATTTTTCGATTTTTTCAGTTTTTAGGATTTTTCAATATTTCAATTCTTCAGCTCTTCTATTTTTGACTTCTGGATTTTTCGATGTGTCTAACTTTTTACTTTCTTCACTTTTCAATTTTTGGATTTTTAAATTTTAGATTTTTCAATCTTTTGATATTTTGATTTTTCAATATTTCTTAATCTTTCGATTTTTCGACTTCCTGGTTTTAGATGTTCAGGTTTTCGATTTTTTAGTTTTTCAATTTTTTATTTTGGCCTATTACGGTATCTAAGTTTTTCCAGTTTTCCATTTTTTCGTTTTTTGATTTTTCAACTTTTAACTTTTTGTTTGTCGATTTCTCTATTTTTCCATTTTTCGATTTCTGGTTCTTTTGATCTTTCAATCTCTCAATTTTTCAATTTTTCGAATTTTTAAGTTTTTTGATTTCTCGATTTATCGAGATTTGGATTTTTCTATATTTTGATTGTCAATTTTTCAATTGATAAATTGTTCATTTTTAACTTTTCGATTTTTCGATTTTGGCCTATTTCGATTTCTCAATTGTTCGACTTTTCGGCTCCACGATTTCTTGATATTTTGATTTTTCGATTTCTCGGTTTTTCGATTTTTCAGTTATCCGATGTTTTGAATTTGGGAGTTTCGATTTCTCGATTTTTCGTTATTCGGTTTTTAAATTTTAGATTTTTGAATTTTACGTTTTTTCGATTTTCTGAAGTTTCATTTTTAGATTTTCAGTTCTTCGATATTTCGATTTTTCAATGTTTCAGTTCGATTTTTCGATTATTAGATTTCTCGAATTTTCGATTATTTTAATTTAAAATCGAAAAAACAAAATATTGTAAAATCGAAATATCGAAAATCAAAGAAATCAGAAAATCGAATGAGAAATCAAAAAATTGGAAAATCGACGAATTGAAAAATTAAAGATCGAAAATTTGAAGAATTGAAAGAAACCTTGAAAAAACAACGGAAACGAAAAAACGAAAAACTGTTATAAAATCCAGAAAATGAAAATTAAAAAATCGAGAAAATGAAAAATAAAACTCAAGAACTTAAAAAATTAAAGAAACGAAAAATTGAAAAATTAAAGAAAATGAAAAAACGAAAAAAATTTGGTGGAAAGAATATAAATCCAGATTTTGCGAAAAATTATAAGATTTGAATTTGCGAATTTTATTTTATTATGATAACACTTAAATGTTAAAACAAAGATACATATGCATGTAATATTAATAAAGTAAATATGAAAAGAAGTATGCTATGCGCTTGTTTCAAGTGAGTTTTGCATTATCTGTCTAATAAAAATCCGGACAAACGGCAGACAGATGGGAAACGGGAGACCTATTTCTTCGTACGTACTCCAACATTAAGTGTCAGATAGTCTCGTGCTAAAACTGGCATTCCGTCAGAATTGATGCAATGTATTTACAATTGTGTCGAGAACATTATCCATACAGGAAAGGCCTTGACGAGCTCTTGTTATAATTTGTTTGTTTATTAATAATTTTTTATAATTTCAAACTTTATGAAAAAAAACAAGAAATTCTTATGTAAAATAGGCAACCAAAAATATATAAAAAAGTGAGAGCATACGATGAACATAAAACCGCAGTCTGCTCAAAAAAATTACACAAAGAAATATTTTCCTTATATTCTAATTCTTGCTCAAAAAAGAATTTTCTTTGAAGTTATGGACTTTGAAATAACTAATAGGTCGACGGTCATACTCGTGCCACTTACGGTATTTTTGTGGTAATGTAGCAACTGTTATTCTCAAATAATTTTTAACAAATGTACCAATTGCACCATTTATTTTCAATAGATAAAAAACTGGATAAAACACAACAAATAACGTTGTGGTATTAGTAACAAAAATAGATATATAATTAAATAAAACTTGTTAATACAATATCGTTTCATAAGTAATAATCTTTTTATGTGTATTACTGA